GACAAGTGCCAAGGGCCACCCTCTGGTCTTCCATGCAATCATCACAAAGACAACTTTACATACTACTCTACTAGGCTACTCAGCATATAGTGTGCCAGGAGCCACCTCCTGGTCTTTCATTCATAATAGTATACAGTGTGCCAGGAGCCACCTCCTGGTCTTTCATACATGTTGCCTAGGGCTAACCCCCGGGTCTTCCTACCATACATAATAACATACTGTGTGCCAAGAGCCTCCTCCTGGTCTTTCATGCATAATGTCTAGGGCTAACCCCCGGGTCTTCCTACCATACATAATAACATACTGTGTGTCAGGAGCCTCCTCCTGGTCTTTCATGCATAATGCCTAGGGCTAACCCCTGGGTCTTCCTACCATACATAAACTAAATGGGTTGGCATTGTGGCCGTAGACCCATACAAACAGTGAGGAGACTCACCTCGCACTGCTGAACTTTGCTGATAACGCTCTGGCTGCTGTCCGACCACTCCCTGAACCGCTGCTCCACTAGCTCCCCGAGCTACTAATATCAATAAAACACTTAGTTCCAAACTGAACTCTAGAAGTCAAACTAAGTCAACTCTGGATAAAGTCAAAGTCCTGGTCAAAGTCAACCTTCCAGTTGACTCGACTCGTCGAGTCAACCCGTAGACTCGCCGAGTCCTTAAACTCAGAAGCTCTCAAAATATGACCCAACTCGCCGAGTCACCCCAGGTTTCGTCGAGTTCAACGATCTCTGAGTCCCATCCTGTCCAACTCACTGAGTCACCACTCAACTCACTTATCTGCGTCTTAACCAGAAGAGGTTGGGGGTTCTGCGACCTGACTCGTCGAGTCCAAGAACAGACTCGCCGAGTCCTAGGCAATCTTCAACAGACTCGCCGAGTTGTTCTTCCAACTCGCCGAGCCCATGCACATATTCATACAACTCGTCGAGTACACCCATGTGACTCGCCGAGTTTCTCCAGTTCTCAATCCATACAGTGGCTTTTCGAGCCATGCAGGGGCTCCAATCCATAGATCCACTCTTCTACAGTCTATCCCCCACGTAAAGTTGCAAACTTTACGTGAAACCAAGGAGCTAAAGGCCCAAAACACTCAAGGGATAGGGTTTAAGACAAAGGGGCTTCACCAACAACTTATTGACATGAACTTTATGACCTTCTGGACCATCACAAGTCTAGATCTGAGGTAGCAACCTCATATCTAGGCCTCTAACTCGACATAGATCTCAATCATGCCCAAAATGCCCCAAATCTCAAACATAAGATAGATCTATTTGCAATAAAGCCAAAGCAACAGCTTATTACCTCCAATATATGCTCCAACTGAAGTAGATCCCGGATCTACACCACTCCTTTGCAGCAAGCCTCTTGATCTTCAAGCCCCTTTCCACCAAAATCACTTATCTAGGCTCTAAATTGCTTCCAAGGGCTCTCACTCACGATTTAGGGTTTCTGGATCTCAAAAGGGGAGTAAAGAGGCTGGGGAAGGGATGTAATGTTCTTTAAATAGGGCACAACCCCCGGGATTAGGGTTTTTCTCGCCCAGACCAGACTCGCCGAGTCCACTAGCCGACTCGCCGAGTCGGTCACTTACTCTATGCCCCGGATCCCGCTCCGACTCGTCGAGTTCCTCCCTGGACTCGACGAGTTGACTCTTGACTTAGAGCCTTTCCTTTCTTTTCTTGGTCTTTCTGATTCTGGGTGTTACACCTTTGGTGTTGAAAACCTTTTTCCAGAGCTTCTCTTCTGCTAAAATTCGTCTTTTGGAACCCTTTCAATCAGCCAAAAAACTTTTCAAATCGTAATGGGCAAGGGAATTTATAGTTTTCTGAAAAGTCGCGATCCACGTCGTGGCAGGAAGCTCCACGTCGTGATCCGAGAATTATCCGTATCGGGCAAGGATTCCTTCTTCACGTATATCTTCTAGAATACTCGTGCCATGTCGTGGTCTTCTCGTCCACGTCGTGACTTCGGTTGAATCTGTGAATTTCTTCATCTTTTGTACTCCAAGTCTCCAATGTTCCAAGTATTGTCAATTTTGGTCCCTTTCTTCGAAAATGCTTCACTTTGGCTGCAAATAACAATTTATCCTTATAAGTACCATAATTCTATGCAAATAACCAAAATGTTAATAAAAATGTAAGTAAATATTGCCTAAAAATATATATAAATATGGCAATATCACATTCCTCACTATCTCCTTTACCGGCTTAAACGATCATTGATTGAACTCCCTAAATCCCATAATGAAGGGGGAAGTCACCTCGCTCAGATGACCACCCACCCTTACTGATGTCGAACCCAAATAGAAGATATCACAAGCCCTAACGAAGAATGAACCTCAACTTTTCCTTAAGCCAACGAGTATCCAATCGATATACCTGAAATTGAAAACCCTGAACAATGTCAGGCTCCGGGACAAACATAACTAATCAAAACTGCTCCCACACAGACTCAACTTCACAACCCAAACCGAACAACCTCTCCGGCCTAGCCATCTCATTCCTTTAAAAATGGGGCAAAACCCAGAAGATTAGGGTTTCATTTCCAGCGACCAACACGTCGTGTTCCAGGAGGCAACACGTCGTGTTGCTCTAAATGAAACTCGCGCCTTTTCTTATCTCGACACGCCATGTTGGTGCCTCCAACACGCCGTGTCCAATCCCCAAAAGGTGATTTATACCAAAGGTTTCTCCTCAAATTTCGGGTGTTACATAGTTATACTCTCTAAAATATTATTTTCATAAAATAATAATTTCCCAATATTATTTTCACAAAATAGTAATTTCTCCAAATTAAAATACAAGAGTTGAGTATATTTATTAATAATCGAATTCTTAATAAATAATCAATAAGTGACAACTTGCTAAAGGTGTGACCCTAGAGGATCATATGTTATTGGCAAACATCATTCTAAAATGATTCTTGAGCATATAGATCCAACAAGTCACCAGCCTTTGTTAACACCATCCACCACCACCTCCACCCTTTGTCATTACCACTGCACATACTTGGAAAATGAAACACACATAGCAAATCTGAAAATCAAAACACACATACACAAATCGAGAAATTGATACACACACACACACCTGAAAAGAGGCAACGATTCATCTGATGGTGGTGGTTTGTCTGACGGAGGTTAGGGTTTAAAAAGAACACAACAGAGGCGACAAACACACATGAAAAGAGATGACGGTTAGGGTTTACAATGAGGTGAAGATTGTGGTTTACAACAGTGGCAGCGCATCTAAATTTGGAGGGGATGGTGGTGAAGGTGGCGAGCGACGGGGGGTGTTGATGATGGTGTCGAAGATGAGAGGGGATAACAGTGGCATGAGGGTGTTGAAGATGGTGTTGGAGATGGGATGGACGGTGGTGAATTCGGAGAGCGTCGAAGATGGTGTCTAAGGTGGCGGCTGACAGTTGCACGAGGTTGGAGCTGAATGTTGTGGTGGTGACTGCTCTTTAAGAGGGATGTGGTCAAGAATGTAAATTGTAATTGGTTTTAGCATAGGGTTTTGATTACTGTATAATAAAGAAGGAATGTGGTTAAAATGGTAATGGGGAATGAGTTATTTAAAAAAGTTCAAAATGGTATTCACCAAAATCGTTTTAGCTTGGCGAGAAGATGCTTGGTTGTTGTGTGGGAGGTCACGGGTTCGAAACCCGATCACCTCCTTTTCTTCCTTTTAAAGCCTTTAATTTTTAATGAAAGGAAAACACACTGACATGGATTGCAGGGGCGGACATAAGGGGTTCCCGAGGTGGCCGGTGCAACCCTAATTTTCTGACGTAATGTAAATTTTCCGGCGTGTCATCCCTAAAATCATATGTGTTATCACTGAGATTTTGTCAGGTGTCCGCCATCCGCCACTGGTGGAATGTCACGTCAATCTTATGCTAGATCAACACAAACATGGCGTGTCATGTGGCAAGTGTTATTGGCTTAACTTACTAAAAGCTATTACGACAATATTTTGGCAAAATTGATAATTTCGTATAAATTTAAAGATTTTTATTACAATATTTTTATCTGTTAATTTCATAAACTTGGTTGTATAATAACATTCGGTTGTTTTGGTGAATATCCAATTTATAAACACGACATGATTGTCTTTTCAAAATTTGGTAGTTTTCATACATGATTAATCATAAAGATAATAAACTATTATTTTGAAAATTTTGAATGATATGATTTTAATACCATCTAATTTTTGTTATTTGTTATAATAATTTATTTAAATAAACTTAATATTATTTAGTTTGACATTCTAAATTAAATTTTCAAAAGTTTTAAAACGTTTCTCAAAATTTAGATACATAATTTATTAAATGGCATACCAAAAAACATATTAACATTTGTTTTTATATTGAAATTTATGAAAATATAGTAGGGATGAGCATCGGAACCGAGTACCCGCTTTTGGAACCGGAACCGCCTCGGAACTGTCGGTTTTGGAACTTTAAGCGGTTCCGGTTCCGGTTCCTAAAATTATGGAACCGCCTTAAGCGGTTCCGGTTCCGGTTCTTGTTTTTTCGGAACCGCTACCTGCTGGGTACCCGCCGGAACCGGTTTATATATATATATATATATATATATATATATATATATATATATATATATATATATATATACACACATTATTGCATATAAATATGTGTGTTACTTAGACCGGTTTAGAATATATTGGTCCGATTTTGTCCGTTTTTGGTCCGAATTGATTTGATTTGGATCAAACTAAATTGTGGTTTTATCGACAAAAGTTAACAAAATTAAGGTAACTGAGTTACCCGCTCCCGGAACCGGAACCGCCGGTTCCGGGACTGGTTCCAAACATTTGAGAACTGCCTAGAGCGGTTCCGGTTCCGGTTCTAACTTTCTAGGAACCGCCGGTTCCGGTTCCGGTTCTCGCCAAATGAGGCGGGTACCCGCCTATGCTCATCCCTAAAATATAGTATATAAATATAATCAAATAAAATAAAATAAAGAGATATTTTGTGTTGGGGAAGACATTCTCCCAATCTCCCTCCTTCCATTTTGACTTAGAACATGGCAGATGGCACCATCACCGGAGATTCCTCCATTTCCTCTCTCCTCATTCCAAAACCTAGGCAGAAAGAGAAGACGACGATTCAGAAGCTTGGTCCAAGAACACAATTCGTCTGTCCTACTCTTTCTTCATTGTTTCATCGTACGTCTATCTCTCTCTACACTTTTTCCTTGTTACGTTTTGTTCTTCTCTCCAGGAAGCATCTCGGACTGTTTACTTTATTTACCATTACCCTTTTCTGAGTTTGGAAACGATCAGATGATTATATAGAATCACAATTTCCTTACCAATGTAAAAGAAGTGCTTTCCACCATTGTATCCTTTTGCTCTCTCGTCATAGATCTTCTCTGATCCTTCTTTTGCATTCGCAGGTTTTTGGAATGCTGCTTTTGTCAGGTAACCATTTTGTCTAATCGTTGACGAAATATTTTTGTTGCACTCGATTTCTTTCTCCTTCGTTTCTTCCGTTGAGGTTAATTATAGATTTTGCATGTTTGTATTTTGATTTTCTCTGGGTTAATCCTTAGATCTTGGCATTCGATTGTATTTTTGTACAGTATGATGATCTCATGTTGGTCATGCTGACCTTTTGTTGAATTTGATTGAAGATCGAGCTTAGTGAATTTGATCCTCGTTCCCGGATATCGATTTATACACTGCTTTTGCTATGTATTTCAAATTCTTAAGCTCGAGTAATATTTTTTCAGTTGAATTGAACTCTTACTGATGATAAAATCATTACCAAGGCTCTTGTTTCTGTTTCCTTGTTCTGTCTCTTACTTCCATGAAACTTTAACAATATAATTCTACTACTGATCAAAGCAAGGTGTGTCTTACAGTTTAATCAACAATAGTTAATTTCACAGAGGGATTCTTCTTCTACAAATGCTAAACTTTAACAAGCCAAGAACTCAGCCAAGGCCTAACAGGTCTTATGCTTTAGGAGGTAATCTCGCAACTTGATGGTTGATAAAACTTTTACATGAAAGTTTACAGAATTTGAAGTTGTTTTCGGTTTCTGTGGTTGCAGGTATGGATCATACAGAGCCAAACAAGAAGAAAGGATTTGTAAGAAAGATTATTTTTGCTTCTTTCCTTATAGCATTGTGCATCTTCATGCTCAAACAATCCCCATCTTTCAGGAGCCCTAGCCCAGTAAGTAAACAGACCCTTTTCATTCATTTGTTTATTTATTTATTTTTTGTCCATTTCTGCTTATTTTTCATTTTGTTTTGAAGTTCTCTAGGCATGAAACAGGAATTACTCATGTCTTAGTAACTGGAGGTGCTGGCTATATTGGCTCCCATGCTACATTACGCCTGCTAAAAGACTCTTATCGTGTAACCATAGTGGTATATGTTATAATTATCTCTTCTTTATATATATATATATATATATATATATATATATATATATATATATATATATATATATATTAAATTTAGAACATATAATCCAACTGTAAGTAATGTAAATCTGTGATAGGACAATCTCTCTCGTGGAAACATAGGAGCTGTGAAAGTTCTTCAAGACCTGTTCCCACAACCTGGGAGACTCCAATTCATTTATGCTGATTTGGGAGATGCAAAAGCTGTAAACAAAATCTTTTCTGAAAATGCTTTTGATGCAGTAATACATTTTGCAGCAGTTGCATATGTGGGTGAGAGTACCCTTGATCCATTAAAGTAGGTATTATCAATTATATCTGCTCTTTTCTTCACTTCAATTATCTTGAAAATGTTGTTGTTTTTTTTTTTGTAATGATGCAGGTATTATCACAACATTACATCAAATACCCTTGTGGTATTGGAGGCTATGTCAATACATAATGTTAACACTCTTATATATTCTAGCACATGTGCTACATATGGGGAACCTGAAAAGATGCCAATTACAGAAGAAACCCCGCAAAATCCTATTAATCCATATGGGAAAGCCAAAAAGATGTCTGAAGATATCATTCAAGATTTTCATCAAAACTCAGACATGGCAGTTATGATTTTAAGGTTGATTAACACTGTTTGATTTGACACATAGTTTAGTAAAAATATTTCTGACAATTTATTGAATTCCAGATACTTCAATGTGATTGGGTCAGATCCAGAAGGAAGATTAGGAGAAGCACCAAGACCAGAGTTACGTGAACATGGAAGAATATCGGGTGCATGTTTTGATGCAGCTCGTGGTATTACCAATGGGCTCAAGGTAATCTTTCATTCCATTCCATTCCCACATCTGATTCCATTCCCATCCAACCAAACAGATTAAGTTTGTAGATGAATGTGATTCAGGTGCGAGGAACAGACTATAAAACCCCAGATGGAACCTGCATACGTGACTACATTGATGTTACTGATTTAGTTGATGCTCATGTAAAAGCACTTGAGAATGCAAAACCTGGCCATCTTGGGATTTACAATGTTGGCACAGGAAAAGGTGCAATCTTTTTTTATAATATAACATAATTAATAGGTACAATCTTTTTTTTTTTTTTTCTTTTCAAATTACAATGTTGTTTTGTTAATGTGATGACAGGTAGATCAGTTAAGGAGTTTGTGGAAGCATGTAAGAAGGCAACAGGGGCATCAATTAAAGTTGACTACCTGCCACGTAGGCCTGGTGACTATGCTGAGGTGTACAGTGACCCATCAAAGATACTTCGGGAACTCAACTGGTCAGCTCGGCACACTGATTTAGAAAAAAGTTTGGAGGTTGCATGGAAATGGCAGAAGTCACATCATAATGGATATGGGTCCATAAAGACTATATTTTAATATGTGGTTAAAGATTTGAAGATTTTGACCTGGTTTCATGATTAGGTTTATTATGAAAATTTGGGGTTGAGGTTTAGGGTAATTTATATATAATTTTTTCCACACATTTGAATATCATCATATCATTATTTCTTACATTGGGACTGGTTACTGATGAGATCTTAGAAATAATGTGCCTTTATCAGGTTTAGCTTAAACTCATGTTATATGTAACGTAACCCGATCATATGAGAAATGCAAAAATTGTAGGAAATGAAAGAAATGATATGTAATACCCGTTCTTTTTTTAGTCGTCATATGTGAATTAAAATGTCAAAATGGTATTTTTGTGGTTTTTTGGGTATAACCAATGTAATGTAATAAAATGTGTGAAAATTTGAGGTTTAAAACCCTAAAATAATGAGGTTTTATTTATAAAGGGAATGTAAATGTAAAGGCTAAGTAGGAGGACCAAAGGGGTAATTTATGCGATTTGGATTAGTGAGTTTTGTGGCAAGAACCATTGTTGATAATCGTTGAATTACCTTGAAAGAATATGTGATTTATACATGTTTATGTTGATTGAATCGTTATTGTTGATTGTGGTTGATATTATAGGTATATGGTTATTACTTATTAGAGTACTCACTAAGCTTGCATACCTTAATCGTTACTTCTTGTGCCTTTAAGTTCCAAGTGAAACCGATAAAGGTAAGGAGATAGCCGAGAGATAGAAGAATTGTTAGATAAATGGTAACACCTGACTCGAATCTTTGTATAATTTTGTGGCATACGATCCTTTTTTATAAGTACTTGTATACTAGCATGTTAATATGAATGTACACCATGTAGTTTGTGATTTAAAAAGAAATGAGTGTATTTTGTATTATTTTGCCGGATGTTACAAGTTAGTATCAGAGTTATGTTTTAAGTGAACTAGATGTCTTATAGTAGATTCATATATTTATATTTAAACCGGTGGGAAGGGAAGAGAAATATAAGTTGATTAGATCTTGTGGACATAGGTTAGCCAACTATCAGACATATTTAGGAAATATTAGGGTGCGTATACTCTAGTTACCTATAAACTGTGTTATAGAGAGGAAATTTTTGATTGTGTGGGCTAGACTGATGAGAGTAGTACTCGTACTGAGTAATCCTATTAAGTTATTTAAACATGAATTCAATTGATTAATACTAAAATTAGATGCATTTAGTCCCGGCTAGGGATGTATTCATATTTGATACTATGGGGATATCCTTTAATTGTCCGCCTTTGAGATCGCTACTATTTGTTCCTTATGGGGATGGTGCAATATGTGGTTTATGATAGAGGAAGAGAAATTTTGGTATGTCTAAATCGGAACTACATAATTACAATGGAGTCGGGACAATATTTATATATATTGTGACGTGTCCAAGTCGGGAGATACCCACAAAGTAGTTAAAATAGTTAGACGACGATATCTACTGTTTTCTAATAGAGTTTATTTAACCATTCAAGTTTCTCCAAAGATATCAACTCATTTTCAGATTTTTTTTATTATTATTAATTATTAATTGAATAGCTGTTATGTTGTTTCTATACTGGTTGTAGCATAGTGAATCATTTTTTTCAACTGAATCATCATATATGTAACTAAGTGTTCTTTTGATGAAATGAATCATTATAGTAAAAGTTGATTACAAACAGTATATATAATCACTAAATGAATCATGAATCATCATATTGCAATGGATGTATAGAAGTTGTCATGAATCATTTTTCTTACTTCTATAATATGATTCTATAACTTTATTTTAATTATATATAGACTTAAATTATTCATTTACTTGAACTTTGTTGAATTATAACCTCTGCTTTGCAAAAAGAGACCAAGATCATCCAAAACAACAAACTCGTACCAAAGATTGCATATCTTGAAAACTCTCTGAGACATTTTGTTCATTGTTTACAACACAAACACCCAAAACAGATAACTTCACAAAAACCAAAACCAAACCTGTCCTTCATCTTTTCCGTTTGGGAGCAGCACCACCCCCTCTTCCCCTGCCTCCTCCTCCTCCTGCAGCAGGGGCCTTCTTTGAGCCTGAAGCCTTTTTTGCATCCACTTGTACTTGAATTCCTACATACATACATACAAACAAAATAATCCAACTCAATAAAAGATTTATCTGCTTCTAGAAATTGTAAGGAGGAGAATCTTACCTTTTGAAGAGAGGCTTGCAATGTCCACTTTAGGTTTTTCCTCCTCAGCATCACCTTCTGATTTTTTTTATAAATCACACAAAAATCATACTCGTGAATGAAAACCATTTTATAAGATGATAAACAAAAACAATGTGAAGAAGAAGAATACCCAAATCCTCAACATCATCCGAGTTGTTTTCCTCATTCTCCACTGTTGTATCACCAACATCTACTGGCTCTAGCATTGCTTGAACCCGTTTCTTTGGAGCTTTTTTGATGCCTGGAAGTGTGATCAAATCTGCTGTACGTATCACTCGTGTCTTGCTTCCTTTATTGTACGCCTTCGTCAGTGCAGCTTTCACAGCAGGTTGCACACCCTCAAGTAAATTCGGCCTCCCCTACACATATATAATAATAATAATTATTATAAATTTATAATCCAAGTGAATAAAAAAACCACAACTTGTTATTTACCTGAAACTTGGACATGAGCATCAGTGACTCAAAATCCTCCTGACTAATAGAGTATGCATCCATAAACTCCACAACCGTTTCAACACCTTCATCCTGCCATTTATCCAAAACAACATTCAGTTAAAAGAAATCATAACACTTTTTTTTTTAAAAAGAAATCACTTGTACCTTTGGCAGTGTCTTTAATGGATCAGTCATGTGCTTAAGTAGAAGAGACAGATAATCGAGACATAGGGTTGACCTACACCAGTTGACCAACATTATCAAACTCTTACACTTAAAGAAAAAACTAAAAAAAACTCAATAACTTATACATTACCTGCCCAAATTGAATTGTAGGGAAGCTAGAAGATGAACATGAGCATCTTCAAGAAGCCTATAATTCTTTCCCATGGTAGAGTTCTTTCCAAGCCACCCCCCAAATCTGTTAAAGTTTCGTTCACCCTATATACATAAAAAAAAAAAATAAAAAAAAAATAAGACATACATAGATTTATTTATACCCAATTAAAGAACTTTTACCTGTTCAAGTGTTTCCCTTTGTCCACGTAGCAAAGCAGCCCTTTTTCAAAAAAAAGAAAAAAAAAATTATCATCATCTACAATTATCCACATAATTAAAAAAATAAATTAAAACTAACTTACGGGATTATAGCTGACACAAGCGAGCCACTTTGAGAGAGTTGCCACTTTTGGTATCTTCTTATTTGTACATTGATTATATCTCCACTTGCAATAGAATCAGCAGCACGTGCGATCAAGTTCAACCTCTTGAGACCATTCTCATCTTTGCCAGCTGTACTTGGCCTGTAGTTTATATAGTTTTCCTGAATCAAAAGAGGTACTAAATCCATATCACTCATGCTCAGATCAAACCGTTCATCCATCCGTAGCTTTCCACCATTGTAACCAAACAACCTTCAACAAGAAAAAAGCAAATAATTAGCCATGGATTGTTTTTTATAAATATAACAAAAATGTAGACTTGTTATTGCTTCATACTTATCAACTGCTGTAAATGGAGAAATGTCTTCATCTTTAGAGCTAGTAAGAAGGCGTTGTCTCACATCATCAAACTTAATGACAGACATTGAGAGACTCATGTATTGTAATTGATTCAGAGCCATACGCATATCTCCATTAACTCTTTCAGCAAGTTCTTCAAGTGCCACCTCATTTACTTGAATCTTTTCTGCATTTGCAACCTGTAACAATCTTTTCGCCATTTGTTGTTTTGTTGGTTTCCGGAAGGAAAGAAGTAAGCAGTAGTTGACCAAGCTTTTTAGTTTTTGACTGTATCGATCGTTGCATATACAAATTATAGGGATTTTAGATATTTTAATGCTGGCAATAAGATCAGCCACACCACCTCTATCTCCAGCAGACATACCATCAACCTCATCCATAATCAACACTGCCTTTGGATGCTTTGACCGGTCAAAGTCAACACTTAAAGATTGATTACTCACAAGCTCTTTAACAGAATTAGCAGTGCTACTACCAATTCCCTTTTCAATTTTGGCATCAGCTTTTCCACGACTATCACTGGCATTAACCTCAATTGTCTGGAACCCAAGCATCTGACTAACCAACTTTGCTGATGTGGTCTTCCCTATGCCAGGTGTACCACTTAACAATATTGCTTTCTTTGCCCCTGAGTCGCTCTGTTTCTTTCCCTTCGCCTTGCTGGCACCATTTAGGAAATTATCATTCCAATGTATCAACCAATCATGAAGCTGCTTTACTAGAGACTGATTCCCTATGATGTCATTTGGAACCTTTGGTTTGTACTTTTCTGTCCATGGTAGTGAAGACTGCCCCACTGTTGGTTTTTTCCGCATGGAAGAAGCAACACCTGGACTAGCATGCGTGGTAGCTTTACCCTTTTGTGGAGATTCACCAACTTCTTCCTCTAAAATGTTGCAAATAAAATGGTTAACACATAAAGATAGATGGTTATTGTTAAAGTTTTATATAAAGTTTCATACTTTTATTTCCTCCTTTAATAGGGCTTGCTTTTGAAGGTGTAGCTATTTTGTCCACTTGTTTCTTGGGATCTTCTTTTTTGGTGGATTTTGAACGATTTGATGCACGAATCATGTCAAACAATCCATCCTCAGTGAGAAAACCAGTACTTCATAAAGATTTTGAAAGAAAAGTCACAAAATTAGATTGAAAAATAAATCAAGGGAAAGTGGATATCAATCAATGCAAGAATCGAGATAACAAACCCTAGCTCTTTTGCTTTTGCTGATTTCCTTCCACCAATATCTTCATCGCATAAAAGATAATTCTTTCATAAAGAAACAAAAAAAGAAAAGAAAAAATGTCAAAATCACACATAGTCAAAATCAAAATCGCAAGAAAGCATCAAGAAGTCAACCGTTTTCTTGCTGACAGATCCAGTAACACGACCACCATATCGTTTAATCAAATCTTCAGCTTCTTCTCTTTCCAAACTGTCGAGTGTTCCACTGATGACAAATGTCAAACCAGATAAACACTCAGGAGAACCTTCCGGAACTTCCTGTCACCAAAATAATATGTAAGCATTTGGATTTGGCAATTAGAAATTCAACTAATGATCCACAAACCTTTTCTCCTTTGTGGGGAGGATCTTTTCTTTCACCATAAGCCATGAATCCACCACGTCCACCACCTCTTCCGCCACCTGCCGCCGCTGAACCACCCCTTCCACCACGACCACGGCCAACAGACTTAACCTCTTTAGCATCCTCATCATCATCAGCATTGCCCTCATCACTTTCCAACTTTGTCCCCCTTCCGCCAGCTGTCCTACCCCTACCACGACCTCTTCCAGCAGATTTAGGACTTATCACAACATCCTCTTCTTTCACACTTGCATTGGGAATCCCCTTGCCTGAACCACTCTTAAGTTTCTTACTAGGAGTTGTTTCAACTGAGATTTTTTCAGTTTTGGGCATTACAAAGTCGTCATCATCATCATCATCATCCACTTTCCGTGACTTCTTTACAGGTGAAGGTTTCACATCATCACTCTTTGCCTTTCTTTTTGCTGTGACTTCAGATACTTCTGTAGGATCTTCTTTGTTTTGTTTGTCACTGGCAAAGTATTTACTGGTTTTCCGCCTCCCGGAACTTTCTTGACCACCTTGTACCTACAAGTCACAAACATCAAACTCATCATTTTATAAATTTTCAAAACCCTTGTGATGCTATAACTATAATCAACTTTTTTTATACTTACTGATGTCACGGGTGATGAAGGTGAGGCATCTTTAGCAGTTGACACCTTCCCAGGTATCGCAAGTGTGGGTTTTGCAGGTTTTGGTGCTTTGCCATTATCGTCTGCTTTGTCATGTTGCTTCATGAACCATTTTCTAATATCTGGCTGCTGTAGGAACACAAAGTTCAAGCCAGAAAAGAGTTATATTCTCCAAATAATGACCAGACAAAAGAGAAGAAGACACACCGAAATTGAAAAATAAGTACATTATGATATACAGTAGAACACCAACTAACCATAACTCATAACTTACCATTTTTCAGGTTTCTTTCTCGCTCTGCCTACTACCTCCAGAATAGGATCTTCTCAATAACCGGTGAAACTGGAAGCAAAAAAATATATTCAGTACCTTTGGGTCAGTTTGCATGGGCGCAATAAATCAGTTAGTGTAGACAATATCTAAGAAGCCATAGCCTCAAAACAATGGAGGATAATGCACTAGAAATGGTTAAAGTATTTTCTCAGCGACGTCGACCAGAAAATGGTTGACAAAATGTGAAAGAAGTGACGTCGGAAATCGATAGGAGATCAAGATTAAACGCAGTACCAAATTGATTAATCAGTAGGAAAAGAAGAATGCACCGTTGTTAGACGCACTCAACTCTCACCGGTTCCGCGTATGTAGATATGGCACGTACTAGCACCCTTCTAAAACCCTAAATTACAAACATAGAACTGTGAGGAGCACTCGACGAACAAACCCTAGATTTATTACAAAACCTTACGTAAAAACGCACAAATAACTAAAATCGAACATTAAATGACTGGGTTACCTGAAGCGGAATTCGTCTTTTTCTTGGCAGGAAGCCATTATACTATAAGCCAAAGCTGAATATGAAATGAGAATAAAACAATGGAATGATGGCGATGTACTCTGGAAGGAGATCGTCTTCCTTTGTTCGTGTCTCCTTGAAAGTTCGTCTTCCTTTGTTCGCGTCTCCTTGAAAGTTCAGCAAAGAGAGTGGATTTTCCGATTAGGGTTGAAGCTTCGGTATCAGAGGTCTTTTTTTCCTTTCAAAAAAGTAGGGTCTCTGGGTATCTGTTTCTGGGAATTTACATATTTGGGTAACAAAATTATGTAATACGTGTTTAAAATAATATTTTGAAAATAATTTTTTATTATTTAAAAAAAATATAGTTTTAAAAAAAAAACATGGTCTTATTTTTAAAATTAATTTACTATTTTTCCATATAAAATAACTTTTTTTTGAACAGTTGTTTAGTAGGAAAGTTAAATTCACCAAGTTAGTTAATTCATTTATGTATGAACCGGAAACCTTCAATTTAAGAGGCTTATTTCTACAAAGTGGGTTAGTCTCTCATTGGCTATATAAACTAATCTAGACATTCTTTTAGAAAAAAAAAAATTGTCATCATATAATTTAATAAGCACTATGTGTGAAACTCATGTATTACACGAGTTTATTAAAACTAAAAATTTAATATCAATATATAAACATTAAATATTTTAGAAATTAATAGTTTTACATAACAAAATATAATCTTTTGAGACATTTATAAAAAAATCAAATCGTTTGAAGCATTTATGAAAATTTATTATCAAATTAATATATAAAATAACTCTTTCCCGTTAGAATTTTATAAAATTTTATTTTAAGAAAAATAGAAATCCTAAAAAAATGACAAGTGGAAAAATAAAATTTCTAAAACTCCTACAAAATGACATGTGTCAAAATGAATAAGAAGATGACATGTGGCAAAACGATTTTCATTTATTATGGTAGATTTTATTCAAAAGTATTTATTGAGTTAAATAAATTGTTATTGTACCTGTAGTCCAATGAACTTATTGGTTTTTGTTTAAATGGTCCTTCGTGATATTGTTTTGCATTATAAGGGAGCGAATTCATGTTTTAAGGTTTTAAAATGTCATTATGAAAAATGTGAAATGGGTCACCATGTGAACCCCTTCCTACTTAGCAGGTACCATTTGACAAGTAATTAATATAATGTCAGCTCACTTGCCACTTGTCTGAATATTTAACACGTCACCAACGACTTGTTTGACTCAAAGACCTAGACCTAAATAATGTTTCCTTTAAAAGCTAAATGTGACAACCCGAAACTTTTACCTTGTACACTTAGTCAATTCAATCTATGTTAAACTTGTTCTGTTAACTTCTAGCACTGTTTAAGGGTTCATTTAAGCGTTCTAATCTTGAGTATAGCCAAGGTTGAGGTTAGGAATGAGTCAACAAGCCGTAGAGTGTCAAAAACCGGACCATACACCCCTTTTGAGGAGTGTGCGGCCGCACACATTGGTGTACGGCCGTACACACCCCTCATGACCACACACCCACCCTATATAAAGGGTAGACCCCTTTCCTTTAACATCCTGGCAGCACACAACACCTTTTCTCTCAAGACTCTTCAACCGCAAACCCTCCCAAGACTTCAAAAACGTGAGTAATCCATCCCTTAGCTTGTTGTACTTGAAGAACCACTTTCATCTAAGCCTTGATTCATCAAGTTTCATCATGTTCTTCATCTCTTGAAGGAGTGCGGCCGCACACCTTCATAAGGTTGGCCGCACACTCCTAAAAGACCCTCCAAAGTGAGAGTTGGACTTCCATATTCGAGTTGGACATGAACCTAGCCTTGCTACACCCTAGATTTGATGTTTTGGACATCTTTGTGTGGGGTGTACGACCGCACACACCTGTGTACGGCCGCACACACCCTTGTGCGGCAGCATACTCCTTGTGTGCGGCAGCATACTCCCGTGTGCGACCACACACACACCCTAGGACCACAAACCCACCTCTAGGACCCTTAACTTGCACAACAATCGAGTATAGACCTAGAACACTTCATGGATGCAAGTATGGACCTTGAAACACCACAAAGGCACCTTTCGTCATGAGTGTACGGCCGCACACCCATGGCCGCACACACCCATAAGGTGGACATACACTCCCCTCATGCAATCCTTTAAGGTTCTAGCACCTAGTGTAAGTAGTCCCAAGTCCTTAGAGTGGTTCTCCATCACTTTTAGTAAGGAAATACCTTCATTTAACTCATTTATGTGTCATTACATGTTAATTAGGATCAGATTGTGTTCAAGGCTTCACTTGAACAAACTCGCTTTCCGCATCGATCTTTCATTTAAATCGCCCGAGGTGAGTTCATACCCCTACGCTTTTTCCGAGTTTTTCATGTTTTTAGGGGGGAATACAAGCAAAAGTACAAGGAAACTTGTGCTCAAAATATATTATTTTGTTAAGATAATTATATTTTCGGTATGCTTTTAACACGGAAAACAGTTTTACCAAACGATTAAAAAAATCAACTCGCAGAAACAGTTTTCAAAACTAGAGCAATGAACTTATGAATCAAGTAGTAAAATGTATCATTTTATAAAGGATTCATGGTAATCATAAAAGGATTTCTATATTATTACTTGTAAATTTGTTAGTCTAAGTTGGAGACACGTCCTTGGTAACACTCCCACAGAATCAGAGTGTAGGACTAGCACTTGTGACCAGAGTCTCTTGTAGGGAGAGTGTGATTGTTGTGTATAGATCTATACGGGACTGACAATCCCGCACCTTGATGCTAGCTACAGTCGGACCGGCAGGTCTACGGGTGACAAAGTCATTAAGGATACCGGCCGTTTCGGGCCATATCCAGTCAGTTATGGTCATGACACTCACAACCTAGATAACATGGATTTACTTTTGTAATAATGAATCAAGTGAACTACCCTCAAAGTAATAACCGATTTATTACTGGAGGGTATTAACAATACCTTCAGGATTTAGTTCACCACGTATTTATTAGTTTTATTTATGTAATAAGGCTAATATACCTCACTGGGAGTAACCAGGGTTTTTCAAGGAAACTACGTTTATCGAGATAGGTATGGTAGATACTTGTACACCTCAGTTTAGAACGGATAACCAACCATCAACTTTCAGGGAAAATATAGGATTTTCCAGGGATAACTCGGTTTTTCATAAATGGATCGTTTAACAAGTAACCAACGGATATTCATATTCATTCCACGACACCATGGATTGTACATATCTTGTATGAATCTGGAAGTCATGGAAGGAATGGGTTTTCAAACACGCTTTTCATAAGAAAATGTAGGATTTTCTTGAGGAACACTTTTCAAAAGGATTCAAAGAACACTTTTCCCGCAAAAAAAAAAACTAAATGCTTATGAACTCACCAGCTTTATGCTGAAATTCTTTCAAAACTGCTTGTATTCTCAGAGATTTAGTAGACAGGTACTTCCAGAACTTTTGGAGAAGTCGGCGCGTTAGAGTCACGTTTTTCGGTTCTACTTTTGTCATGAACAAAACTATGTACTAAGACAATGTAAACCTTTTTCATATATGTATTCAATGTTTGGTTGTGTTTACTTTGCTTGCTATGATACAACTGTTGTGATACTACGCATGACGTCAACCACCCCCGAACGTTTCCGCCGTTCCGGTTTGGGGGTGTGACAGATTGGTATCAGAGCTCTTGTTTATAGTGAACTAAGTATATCGAACCATACATGGTATAGAACTATAAACATTAAGGGGCCTAAGTGCTCTAAACTAAAAGTATATTTTCAAAAATATAAGTATTTTTATAAAAAGTATACAAGTATACCTAAGTACCCGAACCAGTGTCATAAGTAGAACAAAACAAAAGTACCTGGATGTTGAACATCGCAGTTAAACCTGGGCAGTTATGTAATCATGTCTAGGGTCAATATAGCTTGATCAACTATATTCATTCCAGACATGACCAACATGTGCTTGGGAGTGACTGTGGTGTTGCAGCAAGCCTAAAACTTACCTAGGTACCAGAAAAGTTCTAAAATCAAACATAAGGGTTAAAATAGTATAGGAGTATTTTAGCGTGCTATAACGACCGAACCAAAAACTTACCTAAGAATCCATCCCTCAAGAATCAATCATGAAACTATAATACATTTGAAGTATTATTAGATTCGATGCCTAATAACTATCCCTTTACCTCTTATCTCGCGTAGATAGCATGGCCGGATTCCATCTCCCTGGCGACCCGTACTTTCCCAACCAAGGAAATGCTGGATGGCTCGAGGCAGAGCCAGAAGAAAATCACGAAATTCCCTTGGACGATGACTTCGCAGAACAATTCCCCGAAGAGGCCGACTCGGAACCCGAAGTTGAGAACCTACCTCAAGTAGCCCCGATACCAAATCCTAACCCCCGACTTGAGTTCGAAGGCCCAACGCCTATGTGGGTTGGAAGCTTGGATAGATGGAGTCACAAACAAGGCCAACCCCGCCCGTACGAAGGGGATCGTCGCTTCTACAACGTGAATGAGGGAGGCTCCGCAGACAGAGCCCTTCCAATCATAGTCCGTCGAGTGGCTCGCAATGTGGAGCTAAGTGTGGCAACCCTTTAGCGAATTATGGAGCTTGAGGCAGACTCGGATGCCAACACAAACCGCATTCGCAATCTTGAAGTTGGTCATGGGAGAACTATGAGGGACAATGAAGTTGTGCAACAAGAGCTAGCTACCACTCGAGCTGAGGTCATAGAACTCCGAGCACGCCAGATAGTATACGAGAGCCGCCTGTTTGACTTGGAGCGCCATCTGGCTAACTTAAGGATCCGTCCGAGGAGTGCCCGTCGCCGATAGGAGAATACTCTACTCATCCTTCCTTTTTTGTCTAAGGAATAACTTCCATATCTATGTTTTAAGTAGCTCCTTTCTGTAAACATCTATGTCCTTCATGATTGCCAGGACTCTTTCCCTGTTAGAATGATTTAGACCTATTTATAGGTCAAGGATTCCGAAATATGTGTAATCTCAGTTTCAGCTACAATGACAACAATCATATTCAGTTAAAGATTATCTTTGTCAAAAGTATACCTTAAATCGATAGCATGCAAATTAAGCAACTTTATCAAGGACCTGTCACTGTTTTGTCTTCAAAACACGTATCATAGGATGTACTTAGACGATCATTCCTTTTCCCCCATCAATTCCATATCAGTCTTCATGAAAATTTTATT